TTCTTGACCCCACAACCTCTGTACCCAGCTAACCACCATTTTATTTTCTGTTTCTACAACTTTGGCCTTTCTAAATTCCACATATAAGTGACAGCATATAGCACTTGTCTTTATCTGACTTATATAATGTGCCCTAAGTCCATCCATGTCACAAATGACAGGATATCCTTTTCTCATGAGTGAATATTTGTGTGTGTGTGTATGTATGTGTGTATATACATAACTCATTTTTTTATCCATTCATCTCTCAGTGGACACAGGTTCTTTCCATATTCTGGCTGTTGTAAATAGTGCTGCAGTGAACACGGGGACGCACATATCATTTTGAATTAGTGGTTTCATTTTCTTTGGATATATACCCAGAAGTAGAATTACTAGATCATGTGATAGTTCTTTAATTTTTTTAAGGAACTTCCATACTGTTATCCAGAGTAGCTGAACCCATTTATATTCTTACCAACAGTGCACAAGGGCTCCCTTTTCTCCACATCCTTGCTGCACTTGTCTTTTTGTTGCTAGCCATTTGAATAGATAGAAGGTGCTGTCTCCTTGTGTTTTTTTGTGTTTTTAAAGATTTTATTTATTTGTCAGAGAGCAAGTGTGCACAAGCAGGGGGAGCTGCAGGTAGAGGGAGAAGCAGGCTCCCCACTGAGTAGGGAGTCTGATGAGGGACTCGATCCCAGGACCGTGACCTGAGCTGAAGGCAGACTGAGCCACCCAGGCTTGTGGTTTTTTACATATATATATATATATTTTTTTTTTATTAAAATTATAAATAATTTTTAGCATGAGTTTTTTAGAATATTTAAATATATTTAGAATTAGTATTTAGAATTTTTAAAATATAAAAATTATTAAATTTTTATATATATATATATAATATCCCTCCTTGTGGTTTTAATTTGCATTTTCCTGCTGATTATTGAAGTTGAGCATCTTTTCATGTACCTGTTGACCATGTGGATGGACGTCTTTAGAAAACGTCTGTTTAGTTCTGCCCATTTTTTGGATTCTTTCGTTTTTTTGTATCCAGTTGTAGGAGTTCTTTATATGTCTTGGATATTAACATTTTATCAGATATATGATTAGCAAATATTTTCTCCTGTAGCTTGCTTTTTCATTTTGTTACTTCTTTTGCTGTGTGAAAAACTTTTAACTTTGATATTCCATTTGTTGATTTTTTTGCTTTTGTGTGTGCTTTTGGGGTCATATCTCAAACATTTACTATGATCATTGTTGAAGAGCTTCTTCCCCATGTTTTCTTCTAGTTTTATTGTATCAGGTCTTATGTTTAAGTCTTTGATCTGCTTTAAGTTAATTTCTGTGAGTGGTAAAAGGAGTCTAATTTCATTGCTCTGTGTTTATTATCCATAATAAGTTTTCCCAACACCCGTCTGTTGAATTGTCCTTTCCCCATTGGGTGCTCTTTGCTCCCTTGTTATTAGTTATTAGTTAGTTATTAGTTATACTTGTTATTAGTTATATTAGTTGACTTACATACTCAGGGGTTCAGTTTTTGGCTCTCTGTTCTGTCGACCTGTATGTCTGTTTTAGTGTTGGCACCATGCTGCTTTTAATTACTTTAGCTTTGTGGTATAGTTTGAAATCAGCAAGTGGGATACCTCCAGCATTGTTCTTTTCCCTCAAGATTGCTTTGGCTATTTGGGGTTCCATACAAATTTTAGGATTGTTTTTCTATTTCTGTAAAGAATGCCATTGGTATTTTGATGGAGATTGCATTGAATCTGTAGATGGCTTTGGGTACTATACTTTTTAATACTAACTCTTTTGATCCATGAACACGGGATGTCTTTCCATTTGTTTGTGTCTTTAATTTCTTTCATCTAAGTCTTAGAGTTTTCATTGTACAGATCTTTCATTTCCTTGATTAAACTTTATCCTAAATAGATTGTTTCTGATGCTGTGCATGGGATAATTTTTTTTTAGATATTTCATCCTTAGTGTATAGGAATTATTTCTGTACATTGATCACGTGTCCTGCAACTTTACTGAAATCACTGATTAGTTCCAGCAGTTTTTTGGTTTTGTCTTTGGGATTTTGCATATACAAAATCATGTAACTGCAAATGGGACAGTTTGACTTCTTCCTTCCTGATTTGGATGTGAGGGAACACTTTCAGTTGGGTTTTTTTTTTTAAGATTTTATTTATTTATTTGACAGAACACAAGTAGGCAGAGCGGCAGGGAGTGGGAGAGGAAGAAGCAGGCTCCCCGCTGAGCAAGGAGCCCAATGCGGGGCTCAATCCCAGGACCCTGGGATCATGACCTGAGCCGAAGGCAGACGCTTAACCAACTGAGCCACCAAGGTGCCCTTCAGTTCTTGTCTCTGTTGGTTTGTCGTACATGGCCTTTATTATGTTGGGGTATGTTACTTCTATACTCAGTCTGCCAAAAGTTTTCATCATGAAAGGATGTTGCATTCTGTCAAATGTACAGATGATCATGTCATTACATTAATGTGATGTATCACATGTATTGATTTGTATATGTTGAACCATCCTTGCATTCCAGGGAAAAATCCCATTTAGCCCCAGTGTGTAATCTCTTTTATGTGTTCTTGAATTTGGTTTGCTCATATTTTGTTGAGAATTTTTATATCTATGTTTATCAGGGATATTGGCCTGTAGTTCCTTTTTTTACGTTTTGTTTGTTTTTTAGAGAGGGAAAGCGTGCATGTGAGCAGGGGCTGGGGGAGGGCGAGGGAGAGGGAGAGAATCTTAGGCAGCTCTATGCCCAGCGTCTGTGCAGGGCTCGATCTCACAGCCCTGAGATCATGACCTGAGCTGAAATCAAGAGTTGAATACTTAACTGACTGAGCCACCCAGACACCTCTTTTTTGTTGTGTTCTTATCTGGCTTTGGTGCCAGGATAATGCTGGCCTGTTAAGCACAGTTTGGAAGTATTCCCTACACCTCAAGTTTTTGGAAGAGTTTGAGAAAGATTGTTATTAATTCTTTGAGTGTTTATTGGAATTTGCCAATGAAGCCATCTGGGCCTAGATTATTTTTTGTACTTGGGAGGTTTTAAATTATTGATTCAATCTCTTGCTCATTATGGGTCTATCACATGTTCTTTTTGCATTTGATTTGGTCTTGGTGGGTTGTTTCTAGAAGTTTGTCCATTTCTAGGTTATCTGATTTCGGGCATAGGGTTGTTCATAATAGTCCCTTATCCTGTGTATTTTTGTAGTACCAGTTGTATGGTCTTTTTCATTTCTAATTTTATGTCTTTTTCTAAGTCTGGCTAATAAAGTTTTGTCAGTGTTATCTTTTTGATGAACCAGCTCTTAGTTGTACAGATAGTTTTTTTCTGAAAGATTTTTTTTCTGCTTTGGTTTTATTTCCTTCCTTCTGCTACCTCTACACTTGTTCTTTTTATACTTCCTAGAGGTACAGTTAGGTTGCTTGAGATCTTTGTAATTTCTTAATATATGCATTTAATACTGTAAACTTGCCTCTTGACTGCTTTGCTCTATACCATATTTGATGTGTTTTGATATAATTTATTCTCATTTTTATTTTTTGACTCATTGTTTAGAAGTGTGTTAGTTTCCATGTAGTGGTAGATTATTCTAGCTTCCTCTTGCCGATTTCTAATTCTGACCACAATGGTATCATTGTGGTCAGAAAAGATAGTTGGTAAGATTTCAAAGTTTGCTGAAATTTGTTTTGTGTCCAGTCATAGGATCTGCCCTGGAAAATGTTCATGTATGTAAGAAAAATGTGTATTATACTGCTCTTGGATGGAGTGTTCTATATATGACCTTTAAATCATTTTGTTTTTGAATATGTTTTGGTTCAATTCCAATATTTTTTTTGATTTTCTGTCTGCATGATTTATGTTCTAATAGTATTAAAGTGCCCTATTAAGGTATTGTTTATTTCTCCATTTAAATCTGTTAGAATTCTTTTCATCATGGTGCTCTTGATGTTGGAGGTGTATATATTTATGATCATTCTCTCTTCTTGATGTCTTTTTTTTTTTATCATTATATAATGACTTCTTTATCACTTGTTAATGTTTTTGGCTTGAAGTGTATTTTTTCTGTCATAAGTATGGCTACACCCACGTTTTTTGGTATCCACCTGCATGGAATATCCTCTTTTCCTATGCTTTGAGCCTGTGTATGTCTTTAGAGCTAAAATGAATTTCCTTTAGACAGAGTGGAGTTAGGTTTGTTTGTTTTTTTTCATCCAGGCACTCTACCCTTTGGTGAATTCAGTCCATTATTAATTACTCCTACCATCTTATTGTTGTTTGCCTTCTAGTTGTTTTTATCTCCTGTGTTTCCTTTCCCTGTTTCTACTTTTGGAAAGTGGATTTCCATGGTGATTGGTGCAGTCTCCCCGTTTTTTATGTTTCATTACTATATTTTTGCTTTGTGGTTACCAAGTGGCTTACATAAAATATCTCATAGGTAAAGTACTCCTAGGGGAAGGCGTTTTTAAGAAATAGTTCGAGCACATTCTGTAACAGCCTTGATTAATTACACTGCTCTGCCACATAATCACTTGTTCTGTTCTGATGATCATCTGTTGATTAAAGATGATGAAAACAAAATAAATTGTGAAACAATAACTTGCAAAGGTTACTATAGTTGACCCTTAAACAATGTGAGGGTTAGGGGTGCCAATCCATCATGTAATCAAAAATCTGCATACAACTTCACTCCCTAAAAATTAACAGCTGATAGTCTGCTGAGCAGAAGCCTTACTGATAACAGTTTGACCCATTTTTGTATATTATATGCTGTATTCTTACAATAAAACTAGAGAAAATGTTAAAATCAAGAAGAGAAAATGCATATACAGTACTGTATTTATGAGAAAAAAATCCATGTATAAGTGTATGTGTGCTGTTCCAGACCCATGTTGTTCCAGGGTCAATTATATTTTTAACTTTGTAAGAAACTAACAAATTCTCTTTCAAAGTGTTTGTACTGTTTTACATTTCTACCAGCAATGTCTGAGAGTTCCAGGTTCCTTGCCATATTTTATTTAAGGGAATTTTCAGATACTTTGTGTTTCTGCCCCATGATTGGAGGTTTTTTGTTTTAACACTTCGGTGATGAAGTTACGAATTTTTAAAGAGCCAAAAAACCTCTTTACAGATGGACAGGATGGAAGTCTAAAATCAAAACATGACATGAAAAGCAAGATTATAGAATCCTCTGGCATCATGAGTTATCAAAATACAAGGAAGAATTTTATCCTCAGACTTTCAGTAACACTTTAAATGGTTAGCCACTTGGCTGAGACCTTACTATAATACTTCTGTCAGAGTCCCTGCTGCTGCTTGAATTGTAAAGGCTGCAATAGAAATGTGTTTCTTTACTTCTGTCCAGGCTGAATGAGGGTCTTCTTTATTTTCAATATCAAACATAGCATCGTAGATCCCAGGAAATGATTCTCCAGCATATTTGTTGTGTCTACTCGGAGCAAAGATGATGTGCCTAATAGAAGAAAACAGATGGCAGGTTGAGCTAAAGAGTGTACATAACATTACATTTTTTATGCTTCTTGAATTCATTCCCTTTTGTTAGACCCCATCTTAAGAATACTGTCTCCTCCTGGCATTCACTTTTTTTTAATTCCAAAATGAAGACCTATAAGTGATTTAAGATAATATAACAGTATAAAATTTTAAGCAAAGAAATCTGTGCATTCACTAAGACTTAGTCTCATAAATCATGTTGCCAACCCATACAAATGGAAGAAAGTGTGTTCTTGTAAGTTGCGTACATCAGTTGTCTGATTGCCAGCAGATACCCAAACAGTGGTAACAAGTATGTTTTATGGATATATTTACTGAGAGAAGTGTGTTGCCTTTTTTAGAGATTCAATAAGAATAACACTTGTTCCCAATACTCTTTAAAAAAATCAGTAAATAAGCTTGTATTCCCAAAATATAAATGAGGATAATGAAGTCCATTCCACAAAGATAAAGCAGTTATATATGAATTGCCTGCAGACACATTTAATTTATCATCTAAAAGGAAAGTTTTGCATTTGATTTCCTATTTTATAAGTACCTGGAGAAATCAAACTACTTCTCTTTCCAAAAATTGGAATTCTGCCTTCCAGAAAGGGACGAATTTTATTCAACACTATTATCAGGAATTAGGCCCAACAGTCAAATCCTGCAGCTTCTTCAGGATGTAAATCTGTCTCTGAGACTCAATGTGAAACTATGTAAGTATTAATGATTAAATAGAAATTTATAATGCAAATCATTTAGATTATCCAAAGTACGTCAGGATTTATTATTTTTTTAGGTTTTTTTTATTTGACAGAGCAAGAGAGCACAAGCAGGGGGAAGGACAGAGGGAGAGAGAGAAGTAGGCTCCCTGCTGAGGGCTTCTGTCCCTGACATGGGGCTCCCCCAGGACCCCAGGATCATGGCCTGAAAAGGCAGATGCTTAACCAACTGAGCCACCCAGGTGCCCCAGTACATCAGGATTTATTGCTTTGGCTTTTAAATCTTAACATGTCCTCAAATGGATCTTCCTCATTAAAGCCAGTATATGTGCTGAACTGTTTATAAACATTGATATTCTGACCTATACATGAATTATTACAAATAAAGTTTGTAGCTATTCAAGTGTATACTTGTCCTTTACTGGAGAACTGTAAAAGCAGAGTATAGTAAAAATAAAGATAGATGGATACAAGGATTATACAAACCTAGTTTGAACCTGGCATCTCATAGTCACAGTCACCTTGGTTAAGTTCTTAGGTATTCTATTCTTTTTGATGCAATTATAAACAGAATTATTTCTTTATTCTTCTTCTTGATAGGCCATTATTAGTGAACAGAAATAAAGTAGATTTCTGTATATTGATTTTGTATCTTCACCTTGCACTGAATTTGTTCATTCTAACAGTTTTTTGGTGGATTCCTTAGGTTTATCTATATATAATGTCATGTGCAAGTAATAATGGTTTTACTTCCTTCCAATATGGATGTCTTTTTCTTGCTAATTGCTCTGGCTATGACTACCCATACTGTGTTGAAAAGAAACAGCAAGAATAAGCATCCTGGTCTTGTTCCTATCTTAGAGGAAAAGCTTTCAGCCTTTTAACATTAAATATATTAGCTGTAGGTTTGTCTTATTGGCCTTTATTGAGTTATATTTCTTCTACTGACTTTGTTGAGTTTTAATAAAAATGGATGTTGAATTTTGTCAGATGCTTTTTCTGCATCTATTAAAGACTTTTATCCTTCATTTGTTAATGTGATATATAACATTGATTTGTGGATATTGAACCATCTTTGTATCCCTGGAATAAATCCCATTTGTGGTACTGTGATCTTTTTAATATATTGCTGAATTCGGTTTGCTAAGTTTTATAGAGGATTTTTGCTTTTATGTTCATCATATTGGCTGGTAATTTTCTTTTGGCATCCTTGTTTGATTTCCCTAGTAGGGTAATGCTGGCCTTTTAAAATGAGTTTAGAAGTGTTCCCTCTTCTCTTTTTTGGAAGAGTTTGAAAAGGATTGATACTGATTATTTTTTCAGCGTTACATAGAATTCATTGGTGAAGCCATCTGGTCCTGGACTTTTGTTCGTTGGGAGGTTTATGATTACTAATTCAATTTTCTCACTAATTGGTCTATTCACATTTTCTGTTTCCACATTTCATGATTCAGTTCTGGAAGGTTATATGTTTCTAGAAGTTTGTCTATATCTTCTGGGTTGTCCAATTTGTAGGCATATGACTGTTGACACTAGTCTCGTATTTCATAGTATTAGTTGTAATGTCTCCTCTATTTATTTGAGCCCGTTCTCTTCTTGGTGAATCCAAGGAATGGTTTATAAATTTCATCTTTTCGAACAATCAGCTCTTCATCTTACTGAACTTTTCTTTTGGCTTTTTAGTTTCTATTTCCTTGATTTCCTCTTTGTAATTGCCTTCCTTCTGACAAAACTTTGGGTTTTGTCATTCTTCTACTTTCTTGAGGTGTGATGTTAGGTTACTTGAGAGTTTTACTTTTTTCAGAGATGTAGGGTATTCATTGCTGGTGACTGTTAATCTTAGAATTGCTTTTATGCATCTCATAAATTTTGCCATGTTGTAAGTTCCATTTTCATTTTTCTCAAGGTATTTTTTTGTCTTTTGATTTCATTGACCTATTAGCTGTTTAGTAGAATGTTAGTTTCCACCTATTTGTGAATATTCCACTTTTCTTGTAATTGATTTCTGGTTTCCTACCACTGTGGTCAAAAGAAAAAAAAAGATGCTGGATGTTTCATTCTTCTTAAATTCATGAAGACTTGTTTTCTTTGGCATAACATACGACCTATCCTGGAGAATATTCCACATGCACTTGCAAGAATGAGTGTTTTGCTTTTGGATGGAATGTTCTGTATATATCTTTTCATCTCATATGGTCTGATGTGTGATTTTTTTGTTTGGAAGCTAGCCATTGATGTGTGGTATTAAAGTCTCCTCCTATTCCTCCTATTGTACTCCTATTTCTCTTTTGGTCTCTTAATAATTTATATGTTTAGGTGCTTTTATGATGGGTACATAAATATTTACAAATGTTATATCCTCTTATTTGACCCTTTTATTATTGTGTAATTTCCTTCATCTCTTACTGCTGTCTTCATTTTGAAGTATTTTGTGTGATACTAATACAGCTATCCCTGCTTTCTTTGGCTTCCATTTGCATTCTCTATCTTTTTCCATGCCTTCAGATGTATTCTGTGTGGGTCTTTACATTTGAAGTGAGTCTCTTCTAGGCATGATATAGATAGGTCTTGTTGTTTTATTCATTCGGCCACTTTGTCTTTTCATTGGAGCATTTACTCCATTTACATTTAAAATAATCCGTATGTACGTACATACTGCTATTTTGTCAGTTTTCTTGCTGTTTTGTAGTTCTCTTGTTCCTTATTTTCTTGCTCTCACCATTTGTGGTTTGTTGGTACAGTATGCTTAAATTTTATATTTCTTGTATCTAATACAGGCTTACCTCATTGTGCTTGAAAGATACATTTTTGTTTTTGTTTTTTTTTTTAATTGAACATTTGTGGCAAACCTGCATCAAGCAGGTCTTTTGACACCATTTTTCCAACTACAATTCAGTTGTTGTATTTTAAACTATTTTATTGGAATACATTTGGCAATACAGTGTTATTAGTTTTGGGTGTATAGTAGTAATTTGACAGTTACATACATTAAGAAATGCTCACTCAAGTGTGTAGTCACCATCTGTCACCAAAGTTCTTACACTATTATTGACTATATTCCCTGTGGTATACTTTTCATCGCTGTGGCTTATTTATAACTGCGAATCTGTACCACTTAATCCCCTATTTTGCCCATACGCCTGCCATCTTCCCTTCTATCAACCACCAGTTTTTTTCTTGGTTCATTTGTTTTGAAGTGAAATAGTATGATATTTGTCTTTCTCTGACTTATTTCACTTAGCATAATACCCTCTAGTTGGGTGCATCCATGTTGCAAATGGCAAGATTTCATCCTTTTTTAGGGTTAATATTCCATTGTATATATACCATATTTTCTTTATTTCATCTGTCAGTGGACACTCAGTTTGCATCCCTATGTTGGCTGTTATAAATAACACCAGTAAAATAAGGACACATATTTGTATTTAAGTAAGTATATATACCTTTAATGTTTTCAGGGTTTTTTGGGTAAATAGCCAGTAATGGAATTACTGGATCATGTAGTATTTCAATTATTAATTTTTTTTTTAAGATTTTATTCATTTGACAGAGACACACACAGCGAGAGAGGGAACACAAGCAGGGGGAGTGGGAGAGGGAGAAGCAGGCTTCCCGCCGAGCAGGGAGCCCGATGCGGGGCTCGATCCCAGGACCCTGGGATCATGACCTGAGCCGAAGGCAGATGCCCAATGACTGAGCCACCCAGGTGCCCCAATTTTTAATTTTTTGAGGAAACTCCATACTGTTTTCTCTAGTGGCTGCACCAATTTGCATTCCCACCCACATGCACGAGGGTCCCTTTTCTCCACATCGTCCCACATTGTCTCCAGCACTTGTCTTTTTGATGCCAACTGTTCTGACAGTTGTGAGGTGATACCTCAGTCTTGATTTGCATTTCCCTAATGATTAGTGATGGGGACCACATTTTTTATGTTTCTTGGCCATGTGTACTCTTTGGAAAGATACATATTCAGGTTCTCTGCCCATTTTTTAATCGATTATTGGGAGCTTTTTGTTGTTTCAATTATGTATTTCAGATACGAACCCCTCATTGGATAGATCATTTGCAAATATCTTCTCCCATTCAGTAGGTTGCTTGTCATTTTGTTGGTTTCCTCTGCTGCACAAAAGCTTTTTAGTTTGATACTCCCAATGGTTTCTTTTTGCTTTTGTTTCCCCTGCCCAAGGAGGCCTATATGGAAAAACATTGCCAAGGCCAGTGTATTAGAAATTGCTGCCTAGGTTGTTGGGTTTT